CACAAATGTAAGTTTACATATACCTCATTGCCGTCATTAGCTCGCGTGGTAATAGTGAGCGCCCGGGTGCAATCCTCCACAATCTGCTTGCCCTGGGCGTCTTGCATCTGCACTCCCGACGGCGGCTGCGGCGCGCCGTGTCGCCTGAACCTCAAGGGTGCCACCGAGATGTCGGCACCACTGTCCACGACAATGGCGGTCTGCGTTGCATCTGCCCGGGTCGCCTTGACCATGAAGACCCCAGCCCCTCTCTGCCTCAGTTCCTCCTCGGCTGCTTCCGGGCTGTAGGTCCACTCGTCGTCACCGTCAGAGCTGTCCAGCGAGTAATGCTCTGGGTCCTTGGCCGCCCTCACCACCATGATGTTGAGGCCTTCCAGGCTGAACTCGCCCGGGTCGCTGTCTAGCTCAGTCATGTCATAGATCACCGTGTCGTAGCCCTGGGGCGGTGTGCCCAGCCTGGTGCTTATCTCCTCAAACCTCACGGCCGAGACCTGGTTCACCGTCGAGGGCGTCCTGACCGCACTCGCGCTCGTGGAGGCCGCGCTCTGGTTGGAACCCCAGCTGCCGCCAAGGTTGCTCGCTTCCTCCACCTGTCGAACTCCCTTGCCGCCCTTGGTGGGACACTCATTCTTCCAGTGCCGCACAGGTGGCATGTCCCGGGCTTTCCCTTTCCTCCACCTTTGCCGCCCTTTCCTCCTTTCTGCTGGCTGCCGTTGTCCTTCTGCTTCCAGCTGTTCCACTTCCACTGGTCACCTTGGCTGCTCCACTTCCACTGGTCGGTCTGGCCGTTCCACTTCCACTGGTCGGCCGTCCTTGCCCTTGCCCTTCTTGCCTTTGTCGCCCTTCCCCTTGCCTTTGCAGTCCTTGCCCTTGTTGCCCTTGATGCGGTCGATGTCCATGGGCGCCGGCCCGTGGTCCTGGGCCCTGCCGCCAGGTCGGGTAGGCAACGAGGAGGACCAAGGGGTATTGATAGCTTCGTAGCGCAGCACCCATTCCCTGAGGTCAGAGTACCGCGCGCTGCTTGTCATCCTCAGCTGCACCTGGCTTCGAAGGGGCTCCTTGAGACCGCTGGTGATCGTAGCGATCTGCAGGTCTTCCGGGTACGACTTACCCGAAGAACTCTCATAGCCCATGACCGCGTCCTCATAGGCTATGATCTGCTCGTGGAGGTTCCCTTCCTTGAAGGTCCATGCCGCCAACTGGCGGACAATCGCCAAAGAGCGTGATCGCTCCTTTGGCTCCATCTCCCGGCGCAGCAGACGGATGCACTCGAAGCCGTTCTTCTCCTTCTCCTGGGCCCGAACGATGAGCAAGGGCCTGTTTCGCAGCACATTGCAAAGCACACCAAACAGTTTCTGCGACCGCGCCACGGCTGGCCCATCCAGCAGCGCGTGGTCCACAGCCACATCAACATCAATAGAATCCAAATCGGACTCATACTCCTCGTCGTGGGCAATCAGCCAAGTGCTCAGCTGAAAGCTCCATTCGCGCCAGGTCTTCAGCTCATCTTCTCGCGAGCTGGGCTTCCATGCTTCGAGCTTCAAGGATTCAAGGCCTTGGTGATGCCCTCCGACTTGTTGGCAGCTGCTTGCTTCTCTGCAGCCTCTGCTGCCCTTTGGGTTGCAGTCAAAACCTTCCCGAACACAGACCCAAAAGCCTGCTCCAGCCTTTGCCGAACCACTGCGTCGACCTGCTCTTGCATCTGGGGGTCCAGGCCTCCAGGCCCGTTCGCTGTACCCTGCGGTGGTTGCGCCAGTGCTCCACTTGCTCGGCCGAAGGGTGAATACTCTCCTGCCAGATCCCTTGCCAGTTGCCACCAGCCAGGAAAACCCAAATATTGCAACCACTGTGGCTCTCCAGGCCCACAAGCACTGATGTCCCACTGAGGCTTCCCAAGCCCACACGCACCGAAATACCACTGAGGCTCACCAGGCCCACACGCGCTGATGTTCCACTGAGGCTGCTCAAGCTCACAGGCACTGATGTCACGCTGCGGCTTCCCACGCCCACAAGCACTGAAAAACAAAAGTTCCGGATCTGCCTCGCCACCAGGAGG